AAAAACCGCAAAAAACCCGGACAGCACGGCAGTGTCAGCGGAAACTACATATGTAAGTATTCATATATTCAGAGATGTTTATTATAATATAAAAAGAAAAAGAAAAAGGAAGAAAAATATCGGTTTGTTTTTTAGTTCTTCTCTCTTTCGAGAAGGCGATTGCAGAGAACAACAGCACTCTCACTGCAAACAGCAACAATTAAAGAGATAGAAAATTAAATAAAAAGGAGAGAGAGAAAGAGAAAGAGAAAGAGAAAGAGAGAGAGAGAAACGACAGCCTCAGAAACAGCAGACAGAGATAGAGAGAGAGAGAGAGAGAGCAAGCAAGAAAGAATTCAAGACTCATCATCATCATCATCATCAACAACTATATATATATAAATAAATATATATCAGAATATTTTTTTGCGATCTTTCTCTCTTTTATTTTTATATATATAGTTGGGTTGATAATTCACAGAAGAAGAAAACGATATCTGAGGGCTTGTCACACTTTTCACAACCTGCAACTATAAGAGGTATATATTTTTACATGAATTAATAGTAAAGCTGAAATCTTTGTATATGTATGTATATGTATATATGTATATGTATGTATATGTGTGAACCACTAATCAAATTCAGAAAGACTCGTTTGATGCTTTCACTTTTTCCTCCTTACTTCCCTTTTTGTTCTTCCCTTTTTTCTCTCTCTTCTCTCTCTCTCATACATCTGTATCTATATATACCATATACATATATATGTAACAGGGTTTTCATTTCTCCATCGATCAATCTGAATAAAGAAGAAGAAGAAAATAAATTAATTTGGTCAGGGGGGCTAAGAGAAAATTAGAAGCCACGATGAAGATAGAGACAGTGATATGGGAATAGCAACGCCGCCGCCGCCAACAGTCGCCTCTCACCGGAAAGTACACAATTCTGTTCAATTCTCCGACGAGAACAAAAGTCCGTCGATTTTTTCTATGTCCGAAGATTATCATCATCAAGGTAGTATTTTCAGTTTCTCGAATGGATTCGAGAGATCGCAACAAGAACAACAACATCACAATCAGCAGCAGCAGCAACAACAACACATAGCCCAGCAGATCCGACGGGATAAACTCCGGGTCCAAGGATTCGACCCGCCGCCGCCGCTTGTCGGAATCGAGGAGGAAGAAACCGGCGGGATTCCCGTCTACGAACCCGCAGGTATGTTGTCGGAAATGTTCGGCTTCCCATCAGGCGGCGCCTCCACTGCAACGGAATTGCTCGAGAATCAGATACTCCAGAGCTACCGGAATCCACGGGCTGGGCCGCCGCCCTCCGCCGCGGATTGGTTCTCCCACCACCGCCAAGGCATGGTGGTGGGTGGTGGCTCCGGCGGTGATTTGGGGGTTTCCAAGCATCACCATCATCATCAACAACAACAGCAACAGCAGCATCAGATTTCGGGCATTAATGCTGACTCAGCGGCGGCCATGCAGCTTTTTCTGATGAACCCACCGCAACAGCAGCAGCGGCAAAGGTCGCCGTCGCCGTCAACCTCCCACCAAAACCCACCCCACGAATCCACTTCCTCCACCCTCCACATGCTTCTTCCAAACCCTTCTTCTTCCTCCTCCACACTCCACCACGCCTTACATAACGCGCCTCCAGGAGGGGCTTTCGGTCAATTCACATGGCTTCAAAACAGCGGGAACGAAAGCAGCAACCCTAGCGAAATTAATCCAGGAGTTGTAGAAGGACAAGGACTCTCGTTATCTTTGTCTTCTTCTCTGCAGCACCTGGAGGCGGCGAAAGCGGAGGAGCTGAGGATGGGGGAGGGCGGTATGCTGTTCTTCGGTCAAGGCGGCGGAGGGTCAACTCCGGCAACACAGTATCAGTTCAAGAATTCCGGCGGCGGCGGAATCGGCCATAGCCACCAGCTGCATGTGGGGATGGGCTCTTCTTTCGGATCGGTCAATATGCTGCGGAGTTCAAAGTACGCTAAGGCAGCTCAAGAATTGCTGGAAGAGTTTTGCAGCGTCGGTAGGGGCCATTTCAAGAAGAGCAAATTCAGGAAAGGGCAGAATAACAACAACGGATCAAACCCTAGTGCCGGCGGCGCCGCCACCAGCGGCGCCGCCGCTGCAGGTGGCGGAAATTCATCGTCTTCTTCGAAAGACATTCCACCACTATCGGCTGGTGACAGGCTTGAGCATCAGAGAAGAAAGGTCAAACTGTTATCTATGCTTGACGAGGCACGTATTCTCTCTCTCTCTCTCTCTGTGTGTGTCAACTTTCTCTCTCTAAAACAATTCATCCATTCATTAGCCAATCATAATTTTTGTTTGGTTTAGTTAATTAATTGATTAATTAATTAATTAGTCCGATTGCTTACGAAATCCATCCACCGGTGATTATTCAATTGCCGGCCAATGATACAGGTTCCCACGGATTCAATTAATTTAATTCAAACAACTGAATTTTAATTAAACTCCTACCTAATTAAATATTTTTATCACTAATTTTAATTAGATTATTGGTGGGGTATAATTAAATTAGGGTAGACAAGCTTTTCATTTGGTGAATGAACACGAGTGCCTAACCACTCTTCACTCCAAATATTTCATTTAATTATTAATTTCAAGATTAGATTTTTTTTCTCCTTTTCTTCAAATATCTCTTTAATTAAACAATACATATATATATTGTATATATATATATTTATGATCCATATGAATCAGATTATGTATTGTTGTCTGTATTGGGACAAGTGATCATCATCCCCAATCAAGACAAGGGATATTCTTCCCTTTCACATCATCAATCATTTCACTGCACACACAATTATTTAATTAATTAATTAATTAATTAATTTTCTATTATTAGTGCATGCAATAATATAATATTATAAAATGGAAAAAACGACAGGTGGACAGAAGGTACAACCACTACTGCGAGCAAATGCAGATGGTGGTGAACTCGTTCGACATGGTGATGGGATTCGGTGCGGCGGTGCCGTACACGTGCCTGGCGCAGAAGGCGATGTCCCGCCACTTCCGGTGCCTGAAGGACGCCATCGCCGCCCAGCTGAAGAACAGCTGCGAGCTATTGGGGGAGAAAGACGCCGGCACATCCGGTGTTACAAAGGGCGAAACGCCGCGCCTGAGAATGCTGGAGCAAAGCCTCCGCCAGCAGAGGGCGTTCCACCAGATGGGCATGATGGAGCAGGAAGCGTGGCGGCCGCAGCGCGGCTTGCCGGAAAGATCCGTCAACATCCTCCGCGCGTGGCTCTTCGAGCATTTTCTGCACCCGTACGTTTTTTTTTTCCTTTTTCTCTTCTTACATTTTCTTTTTAATTTATTATTTATTATGGGATGAACAAAAGTTGGTTTAGCCTAATCAACGAACAAATGATTATTAGTACAGAATTCTATGATAAGACAATTATTTATTTAATTATCTTTCGCTCGAAAGGCTGAAAAAGTAGAGTAATTGCGTCATATATAATATATTTAATTTATTCTTTTTTTTTATAATAAATTAAAATAATTATTTTCTCCTGCAATTAATAATCATATATATATAGTAGGCCATTAGGCTATATCTCTAGCTTGATCCAATCCTGTATATATTATTATATTACAATAACAAAAAGTGTGTATTATTATTACTATCACTATTAACAACCAGTGTAGGTAATATTTTATTACTATTTGTTTTTTAATTTACTTTTAAAAAATTACTGCTACTATATATGATTCTTGAAAATTCAGTGTCCTTTTCCTGAGTAGCTAGGGGTCCTTTCTGTTGACTACTATGATTCATAGTATAAAGTAAATTCTTGCATAATAATTAACATGATCTAGTAAATTAAATATATATTATTATTAATAGAGTGGGCAGCTTTTAACATCCTAGAATATTATTTGACTGTAAAAAAAGTAAATTTTATTAGTACGTAGCATGTAAGAAGTAGTGGTTTAATTTAATTTTGAAAAAAAAAAAAGACAAAACACCATGAGTGTGTGTTTTGAAAAAAGAAGGAAAAGGCGTGCAGCTGTCGACTTTACTTCTGCTACTGCTGCTGCTTGCTGCATCGTCTGCATATATACTATCGCTGCCACTGTTTCTATTATATACATATATATATATATATATATATATATGTATGTATGTATCTCTCTCTTAGATTGCCACGCCCCATGCAGAATAATAATAATAATAATAATAATTAAAAAAAAAAAAGATTTATAAAATGACGTCGTTTTGGATGTTTGGTCTGAATCTCAGGTACCCAAGCGATGCAGATAAGCATCTGTTGGCCCGACAGACTGGTCTATCAAGAAACCAGGTATTTCTTCCTATTATTACTATAATCGTGTTTCCCCCTTTTTTTTTTATATATATTAATATAAACGGGGTTTAATTAATTTGCGTAACGCCGTTAACACAGAGATGGTTAGTACTATATATGTGTGTGTTGAATCGGGGGTTGCCAGCTCGTGAGGTGTTTTGCATGGGTTTTGTTCTGTGTTTTTATTTTCTTTCTGGGTAAAAAATATATCTGATTTTAAAATAAAAAGGCAATTTTCTGGTCCACTTTTTTAATTTATTATTGTATCTTTGGATACTTTTTTTATTTTTTGATTTCCCACAAAGACATAAATTCTGAAACAATGAGAAACCCACTGTCAATAGTTGCACCAGACCACCAAGTACAGTGTAGAGTGAGACATCAAACTTTGCAGCTTTCTCTCTCTAGATCTCCCTCTCTCTCTAGATCTCTCTCTCTCTCTCTCTCTCTCTCTCTCTCTCTCTAGATCTCAACACGTACACACAATTAATGGTTTTCAACCATTCGATCTCTGTACTGAAAACGATAGATTCAAGAGCAAGATGCTATCTAGCTCTATTTTTATACATTGTGTAAACTAGTGTAGTTTCTTTTTTTTTCTTTTTTTTTTCCGTTACATGCATACTACTATATCATCCACATGGCTTTATCCAGGTTTAATTTTGTTTTATTACAGCATCATAATTTGATTTTTTAGATTGAAGAAAAAGACAAAATTGGAGGCCACGTGTCACGTGTGTTTGTCTTTTTCCTCGGCTGATAATATTTGAATAGAAACACCATTAAATTCCTTGTTTGAAATTCATCAATACTTACAAAATCTAATTTAATGAATGTATTATTATTTTGAATTGTGTGTGTGGTTTTTATTAATTACAGGTATCGAACTGGTTCATAAATGCGAGGGTCCGTTTGTGGAAACCCATGGTGGAAGAAATGTACCAACAAGAAGCCAAAGACGACTCTGCTGCATCAAATGACCAAAACAGCAGCGGCAGTGCACAAACTCCAACGCCTCCCTCCACCGCCGCAATTACTCCTCCTCCACCACCACCACCCCCACCCCCACCCCCCACTATGATAAGATCAGAAATCAATAATAATGCCCATCTTGAAAACGACCCTTCATACATCGCAATTAATACTAGGCAAGTCTTCTCGGAAAACCAACCCCCCACCACTTCCCTCCCTTCCGCCGCCGCCTCCTCCACGGCGGTGCATCCTTTTCCGGCGGCCATGCACGACGACCAGTCCTCAATCGGAGCTACTACGTTCATCAGGTTTGGGGCGAACGCGGGTGACGTGTCACTCACCCTAGGGCTACGTCACGCCGGAAACATGCCGGAGAAGAATCCGTTCTCGGTTAGGGATTTTGGTGGATGTTGATTTTTATTAATTAGCTTAATCATTATTAATATACCGGTGCTTAATTAAATAAGAAATTTAAACCTTGTCACAGTTTATAGTTTTTTCTTTTTCTTTTTTTTTTCTTCAGCAGTACTTGAAATTAGTTCTATTTTGTTTCATTTTTTTTTAATTTTTTTTTTTTAAATTTATGTCTACTCTTAGACAAATACATATATAATGAGAACGTAGAAACTAATGTTAGCAAAGTTTTAATTACCAGGTTTTATTGTAATTGTATAGTTACAAGTTTTGTACCTTTTAATCCTTTATTAAGTATTATATGTATTAATCTATATTTCCGTGCATTAATTACCATTAGTTCAGTGTAATAAAATTAGTATATATATCAGGGTTTCTTGAAACAAATTATCTACATTCAAGAATTTATTTTAGGACAAATTAAAAAAAAATGGACAAATATTTATCTGATTTAACTACTCCACATATCTGTGAATTAAATAATTTTAATTTAGTAATATTATTGTGTATTATCCTGAAATGCACACAGTTGGCATTCACATCTGGCTAGAAGATATTAAATTTATAAAGTTTTGAAGTCTTGTCACATTTAATTTCTTTCCGGTTTTCCAATTTCCATTCTTTGGTACGTACAGTTTGCTCAAATTTATTACTTCTATTGTTCCATAATAACTGTCTAGTTTTTAAATTATTTTTGTATCATATTGTCAATTTAGATTTTCGATACTGAATTAAATGCAATTTTTTCTATTTATTTTAACCTTATTAATTCAACTATATAGTATTAACTCTCCCGTATCACACGTTTATTGAGATATTTTAATACTTGTGCAAAACTAATAACGACAGTTTATTAGAAACGGAGAGAGTACAATAATGTTGAATATTACTAATTCTTGTTACTAGTGTCAATTTTTGTATTCATAAAGAACTCCGGAATTTAATTATTAAAACATGGGAGAAGATAAAACCCTAGACTATTTCGCGTATTAAGTAATCAATTTTGAAGACACATTCATAGTTCGTAAATTATCTAAATTTATTATTATATGTATAAGAATTGTTTGTTCCGGTTTCAATACTTCGATGAGAAACTGTGAACTCAACGTAAGATCGATACCGGCTGTTCCTATATTCCATTGTTTATCCAAGTTATAATTTGGATTGAATATCATAATTTTATTTTATTTTATTTTACATACATGAAAATGATAATTTTATTTGGATCTAAATTGTGCATGAACTTATAATACATTTAATAAAAAATTATTGGTGAAGAAAACGATGGGAAAACAAACTGTGTAGATTCAATATCAACTAGATTCTAAATTCTGCTTACAATATCTCTAATTTGTTTTTTATATATTTAATTTATCCTACAATTAATTCCAATTATGACAGTTCCTTAAAATCTAAAAAACACACACACACACACACACATATAAGCAAAAGCAACAATTACCCTTTACCAGATTTTATTTTAATTTTTAAATTTTTTTTTTAACTTAGGAAGAAAAAAAATGGTGTGGCCAACCAGAATTCTACCTGACAAAGTTATTGTCACATTGCTGTTAATATTATCAGCTGCTGACAATTATTTAATATAGCATAGCTGCAGTAGGCCATTATGTTTCGGACAATATTTTCTTTTCTTTTTTTTTTCTTTTTTTTTTTAATATTTTTAAATTCAATTTGAAAAATGATCTGTACATGAATAATTTTGTGGTACCCGTTTTGCATATGATAACGTAACAGCCTGTCATATACAAAAATAAATAAAAATTTACCGCAGGAAACATATATAGAAGTAAAAACTAAAATGGCACCCGCGCTTTATAATTTACTTGTGTTAAATTTATCGTTGTAATTGATTTTAAATAACTTGGAATTTGTACGCAGGTGTTAGTTTTATTGGATTCAGTCTTTTGTCTATCGTTTCTATAAATTATTGTTTTTATTTTCTTTAAACATTTATTTATAGGAATTCCATTTT